CTCAAAAATTAATGTGATTATATGGGAGTTGTGATTATATAGGAGGTGATTATAGAGGAGGAAGACTGTATATAGAGCCCGGTATATAACTAATTTATGCGTTGTGATCTTGATATAGTAAGCAAAATATAATATTAATTATTTTTATTGTAATAAATTCTTAATATTTAATAAAAGTTTTAATATAATAAAGCAGTTTAAATTTAGTTTATATTAAATATTTCTAATAAAACTGATTATTTTATATAAATTGTATATAGGTTTTTTAGCCAATCAGAATTAAGTATTAGGGGGTGCACAAATATGCAGGTGCATAAAATTATATAACCCAATTTATTATATATTTATTATATATTTATTACAACATAATTACTTAAATTACAAAAAACTGGCACTAAATCTAACTTGTTTTCACATTAAAACTCTCAAGCCCGATTTCAATATATCATTTCTGTTATTTTCATCACTTTTAGCAAAGAACCTCCCAAAAAAGAAGAAAAACCACAAAAAAAAACTAGTACTTATTTTTGTACCAGTTTTTGGCACTATAAGCTCAAAATCTCAAGTTCAGTTTCATTACTATTCCAGTCTGAAATGAAGAAAAACATTAGTAAAAAAAAAAGAAAAAAGAAACAAAAAAACAAAGAGACTAGTACTTATCTTTATACTAGTTCCTGATTCAAGGATCTCAAGCCCAATTCTAAGATCTCAAGCCCGGTTTCAATAACGTTTCCCAGAAAAGCAAAAACCTAAAAAGAAGAAAACCATTAGTAAAAACAAAAGACAAAACAAGAAAATATAAAAAAAAACTAATATTTATTATTGTACTAGCTTCTAGCTCCAAGATCTTAAGCTTGATTTCAAGATCCCAAGTCTGGTTCCAAATCACCATTCTGGCAAAGTAAAAGCCTAAAAAGAAGAAAAACATTAGAAAAAAAAAAAAACAAAAAAACAAAAAAACAAAAAAACAAAAAAACAAAAAAACAAAAAAACAAAAAAACAAAAAAACAAAAAGACTGATACTTATCTTTATATCAGTTCCCGGTTCAAGGATTTCAAGCCCAATTCTAAGATCTCAAGCCCAGTTTCAATAATGTTTTCTGGCAAAGCAAAAACCTAAAAAGAAAAAAACTATTAGTAAAAACGAAAGACAAAACAAGAAAATACAAAAAAAAAACTGGTACTTATCTTTGTACCAGCTTTCAGCTCCAAGATCTCAAGCTTGGTTTCAAGATCTTAAGTCCGGTTCTAATACACCTTCCCGGTAGAGCAAAAGAAGAAAAACATTAATAAAAAAAACAAAAAAAAAAAAAAAAAAAAAAAACAAAAAAAGACTCATACTTATCTTTGTACAGTTTCCAGTTTTAGAATCTCAAGACCAATTTCAAGATCTTAAATCCGGTTTCAAGATCTTAAGCCTGGTTTTAATAACCTTTTTTGGTGAAGTGAAACCTGAAAAAAAGAAAACCATTAGTAAAAACAAAAGACAAACAAGAAATCAAAAAAAAAAATTTAGTACTTATCATTGTACCACCAAGCCTGATTCTAATTCCAAAAGCTCAAGCCCGGTTCCAAATCAACCTTTTTCGGTGAAGCAAAAATCTGAAAAAAAAGAAAACTGTTAGTAAGAACAAGAAAGCACAAAAAAAAAAATTAGTACTTTGTAAAGATTTGGCTTCAAGACCTCAAGCCGGTGAAGCAAAAACCCCAAAAAAATAAAAAACTTCTGATCTCATTATACAGTACTTTTCTTGGCAAAGCAAAAAAAAATTATTAGTAAAATAAATAATAAAACACAATACTTATTCTTTGTCTCCAAGATTTAATAAGAATTTATAATTCAGGTTGGTATTCTTGCAAAGTACTAGAAAGATTTGAAGTAGGTAGGTGTGATCTTGTAGTTGTTTTTTAATGCAGCAGTTGATGCATTGTTACTATAAAAAGATCATCGCGATGCGTATCAGAGCCACGACCTTCGGTATTTAACTTAGGCCTCAGAGTACTTAATTTTCATTATTATCTATACTATCTGCTCTTTTGTTCTGTTTAGAGTAGTCTATAAAATAAATAAATAAATAAATAAATAAAATAAATATAAATAAAATAAAGTTAATAAAGAAAAATAAAAAAAAATATGAAAGACAAAACAATATCTAATATTAGGGATAAATATGATCTAATCTTATATGTACTATACATAACATAGTACACTTTCGCAAGGGTTCGAATTTTATAAAAATATTTTGAAAAAATTTTTGAAATATTCTGAAATATATTATGTAATATTTCATAATTTTTATATTTCGCAAGTTTTCGAAATATATTATATAATAGGTAAAATCTAGTTGGTGCCCCTATGCATACTGTGCCCCTACACGTGATTATAAAAACTATAAATCACGTTATCGCGTAATATATTTGATCTACATATCGTCGCATAATATATTTGATCTACATATCATCACATAATACACTTTTTACTTACCATTATATGTTTTTTTACTTATACGATTTTTACTTATACAACTCAGCTTTTTTCGCTTACATAACAATACTTTTTCTTACAAATATCGTTTTAAGATCCTTTTTCATACTAGAACAAGTGGTGATATTCTTTTTAGAATAGTAATATCCTTATTCTTTTCATTATACATATGCAGTTCTGGTTTTGTTCAAGAATTCGTGAATTTTAGGCTACCTATTTTTTTAAAGTAAGGTAGTGGTGTTTAGTGTATTAAGTTTGGTACAAGAAAGCAACAAGTAATATAAGTAACAACTATAAACTTTGGACTTGTTCAAGAATTCAATATACGTACACATAGTGACGATCTCGCTCAAAAATTTGAATTTTAGGCTACCTTTTTTTTTTAAGAGTAAGTACACGTAGTGACGATCTTGCTCAAGAATTGTGAATATTAGGCTACCTTTTTTTTTAAGAGTAAGGTAAGGTAGTATTTGAGTATTGATTTTGACACAAAAAAGTAGCAAATAAAAAGAGTAATGAACGCAGGTTTTGATTTTGCTTAAGAATTCATTGATTTTTTTTTCTGTAGTTGAACAAGTGGTACATATCCAGTGCAAGAGGTATAAAGAACCTAAACATAATAATTTTACAAGGATTTGTGGCTTTTTTTGATAGTCGAATAGGCAGTATTTGGTGTGTAAAATAGTTGGTATGGACAGCTCAATACTAAGTTTCAAAGAGGTGGCTAACGAAATTGACGAAGAACAAGATAATAGTGAAGCTGGCCAACTCTATATAGGAAAATCATTTTTGTCATGGGAAGAAGTAACTCTGTTTTTAGATGAGTATTGCAAACAGCAGGGCTTTGGCTATCGCAAAGGTCATTCTAAAAAAAGTAATGATCAAGATGTTAAGAAGCGAACATTTCTCTGTCGATATTCAGAAACTTTTGTTTCAAATAAAACAGCACCACCTGAGGAACAGCGTAATACACCATCGTGCAGAGTAGGTTGTTTATAGCACGTTAATATAAATAAGAATGATGATGGCTATTATGTTGTTACTTCATTTGTTAATGAGCACCAAGATCACGTTTTATCCCCTGACACAACATACTTGTTACCTCAATTTCGGAAGTTATCCGAGCCAATGCTTGATGACATTAGGTTTTGAACATTAGAAGGAAATATAATGGTACCAAAACAATATCAATTGCTCTTAAGTAAATATAAACAGTACATTTCTAAGAAAGATTTGTATAATACCATTGGTCAATTTCGTCAGCAAAAATTATCAGTACTCAATGATGCTAGTAATTTAGTAAATGATTTACTTACCAGAAAAACTGATAATTCAGGCTGGATTGTTGAATATCAGGTAGATCCAATAACGCGAGCACTTACACACTTGTTTTGGATGAAACCACATCAGCTTGAATTATGTGCACGTTATGGATCTGTCGTCACTCACGATAATACAGCAAAAACAAATGTTCACAATCTACCATTATCATTTTTTATAGTCATAGATAATAACTATAATTCGAGGCCAGTTGCACAAGCATTTATTGAAGATGAGTCTTTAGAATCGTATTCATAGATTTTGCATATGTTTTCTCAAGCAGTTTCTCTCTCACTGCCAATTATGATTACAGATGCTGATCTGGCTATGGACGCAGCAATCGAACAAACATATCCATCAACAAAACACCTATATTGTATATGGCACATCAGACAGAATGTTTTAAAAAATTTAAAAAATAAGTTGTCAACAGAATATGAAAGTTTTGCTAAGGCTTTTTATCAATGTCAGAATAGGCTTGAAGTTGATAATTTTGAACGTCACTACTCTGAACTAGTTGAAAGTTATTCTATTGCACAAAATTATCTTAGATATTTGTACAAAAGTAGGAAAGCATGGGCACGGTATTATACAAGCTCCTATTTTACTGCTGGTATGCAGTCGACAAGTTGGGTTGAAAGCATTAATAATGCCATTAAAACAAAATTAAATCGTTGATCAGTGACATTATTTGAAGATAGTGAGTGTATTACAAAGTTTTTACAGGAACGCCAGACTAACAGTGAGTTCATATTATGGAAGGAGTCAATGCTACTTATATCATTACCAAATATTTACAACACAATTTTTTCAAATATTGATGTTGAACTTCGTGCTTTTATATCTTTACCGATTGTTAATAAAATGCGAGAACAAATGAATCTTAGTTTTTTGTATCGAGCAAAGGAATCAACTAATGATTTTGCTTTTGAACAAGATAGACAAGTGGATTGTGAGACATCGTGCTTAGATGAGATCTTTGATTTACCTCAAGTAAGCACAAGCCGAATTTTTCGTGAATTTTATGATCAGATTGTTTCTATTTGGGAAGTGTGGCATATAAATTATCCAGATATTCTATACTTCATCTTTCTTTTATTAAATGGTAGTTACCAATGCACTTGCAAATTGGCCACGACTTTGGGTTGGGTTTGTCGACATTTCTTTAATATTATGACTATGACTTCATCAGCAAGATTCCATATTAGCATGATTAATCGACATTGGTACAAAGACCAATTTTACAATAGCAATGTTGATGATAGACAATTTATTCAGCTAGGAATTCCTAACAATGACCACAATTATTTTCTTATGAAATGGACACCCAGCTCAAGTATTGATGTACACAGATTCTCATATAATGAAATAGAACAAGTACAGTCTCACATAAAAGAAAAGCAATGTTATGCAAAGGTTTTTGGGCTTGCCAAAGCATTAGTAAATAAAGCTATTGAATTTGAGTTGGACAAAAAGTTAATTGCACTACTAGAGAAGTTTAAAATTAATGAAATTATACCAAATCTTTGTTCGCAACATCAAAATAATGGGACAGAAAGGGAAAGTACACAGCGATTAGATTCTAATAGTTATATAGAAGTTAAAAATCTAACAACTAAGAAAAGAAAGGGGCGTCCACGAGGTGCACGACGTATTCTATCTAGTATTGAAGTTAATCAGCAGTTAACTAAATCTAGAAGTAATAGGTGTAAGAATTGTGGTGAACAAGGTTATAACATAAGAAGCTGTAAAAAGAAGCATAACGATTCTGAATTAGAAAGTGATAGTGCTGATTCAGAATCAGAAAACGATAGTGAAAATTTGACTGAATCAGATTTAGAAAATAAAGAAAATCAAGTTTCACAGCATCACTCAAAGATAGCATGACATGATGATGGATTATCTATGGGATTGGGAACCAGAACTGTTAGATGTACGTATTGTAGTGAACAAGGGCACAATATAAGGCATTGTGAAAAAAGAAAAAATGAAGCATGAGATTCACTAGCAATTAAGACGGAGTAACGTTTATGATAAATTAGTGGCTAGTATCAAAGAAATTTTATATTGGAAGATTAATCGTACTGTCAATTTATACGCGAATGTTCGCTTTTTATATTTTTTAATTAACACTATTAATTAACATATTCATAGTGCCGATGAGAATAATAATGATAAGTAGTTGAATAACATGTTTTTATCTGACATGTCTTATGTGAACACCGAACGATTTTGGTGTAAGTTATTCGGCCACCTCCTAATACAATACACAAATTTTCATCACCTTTTAAGAGGTGAATGAAAATTTGTGTATTTGTATTAGAAGGAGGCCGAATAAGTTATACAAAAATCGTTCAGTGTTTACGTCAGACATGTCGGATAAGCATATTATTGGTCAAATTGTGGCTGATAATTGCTGATTTCTTCACAGCAGATACCGCATTATGACGTAACCTTCGGCCACGTCATAAAAACAGTATCC